AGTGAGTTAGGAAGTTGGGATGCATTCTTAGAGAGTGACACAAAGTCTAAACTTTGTGATTTTCATGTTGAGGGCATAGATGAAGAAGAGAAAACCCATCAAGAGGAGTATGAAATCTCTAGTCAGCCTACTTTTACCTTGATGGCTCCATTTGAACGGTTGGAGAAACCAAAGGCACCTGATCCTGAAATACTGTTTGATTCTACTAATGAGTGTGATGCAGGATATGTGCTAATTCCTTGTTCGAACGAAGTGTTCTTTGAATATTATGTCACATTTTGGTGGTCACGAGAGTTCGAAGGTCTACGCCATCTGACTGCATACCTGGAGGATAAGGTGGAGGCACTAGTGATGAGTGCTCCACAACTGATTTGCATTACAGAGAGTTCTCTCTCAAACGTCAATCTAGTGACGTTAAAGAAGCGCTTCTTGGGAGGCAACTCATGTTTTTCATAACTTTGTTTGTTTTGTGTGATTGCAGGTTGTGCTTCAATAAATAAATTGTGAGTTGAACGCTTTGACCCGATTTCAAAAAAACTGACTATGGATGATGTAAGGATATTTTTAAAACAATTTTATTCTTGTTTCCATCATTCATCTTCACAAAATATTTTCAAAACTCAAGTGTGAGGAAAGAACCAAAAAAATGTGCCTTTATTTCAAAACTTTGTACATTAAAAAGAGACCTCGAGGGCGAGGTCTAGCTCAAGTGTGAGGAGGTTGTGTTTTACACTCAAAAAGTTAAAACCTTGTTTTAGATCAATCTTTTTACTAGTTTTGATATGAAACATTCACTTCTCAATTGTTATCAATCACATAATAGCTTAGAGAATCACCCTTATTATAAGAATTTAGTTTTATTATTATTTTTAGAAAACTTGAAATTGTTATGGGTTTTTTGTTGCGAATGTAAAGGACTAATTTTGTTTTAATTGGACATTCATTTTATTCATAAAAACAAAAATACTATTATTAATAAATCTCTTCAAAACTCATTTTTATAGGACAATTCCATCTCCGAAAAGGGGCTCTGTTTCATTCATTAATCATAGTCTGTGAGAATGAAATATGCATCTACCAAAGGATAACACCACCAACAAGAGTGGAAAAGAGGCAAAAATACTATTATTAATAAAACTCTTCAAAACTCATTGTTATAGGACAATTCCATCTCCGAAAGGGGACTCTGTTTCATTCGTTAATCATAGTCTGTGAGAATGAAATATGCATTTACCATGGGATAACACCGCCAACAAGAGTAAAAAAAAGAGGCAAAAAAAATTAATGAACAAAATGAATGTCCAAATTAGAATAATGAAAACCTTGGGATAAGGAATTGATTGGTGGTTTAACATAATCAATAATTTTTTTTAAGTAATAATAATTTTAAATTCTTGTATTTTGGGTGATTTTTCTTAAATGTTTAAAAATTGAGAATAAAAGAAGAGGTTTTTGTTTCTATTTCTTTAATACCAACTCGATTGTAATACGGTCAGGTTTTACCTTTTTGATTGTGTCTGCAACCGATTTGTCGCTTGAGGACAAACAACGCTTAAGTGTGAGGAGATTGATAAGTCCATTTTTGTACTTACTTTTCTTATCAAATTTAAGCGATTTTTGGATTGAAAATATAAAAACAATGCATGTTTTACATATTTTGGTTCAAGTTTCATGAAATCAGGTAAAATCACATTTGTAACATGTTTGGCGAAATTTCGGGTCAATTGCATGAAGAAAGTGGCATTTTTTGCCAACAAATGAATTGCTACGGAAGTTTGAAAGATATATTGACAAATTGTTCAATGAGAAGAGTCCATGAGAGTAAGAAATCATGCAAGGAAGCTCAAAAACCAAGAAAGGGTCGCCAATATGGCCACTTTTGATGAAAATACGGACGATGCATAAAGACACATGTTCGTATTTTGATCATAACTTGGCGCATGATTTCCCAAAGTTTGTGATACCAGTTGCATTACATTGAAATCTTCTTGCTCTACAACTCTTATGAAGAACACATAACCACATAACAATCGTAGAATGACCATATTGCTCAAAGAAGTCAGACATTTGCAATTGCAATAGAAAGTGACACGTGCTCACCATTTTGGTCATATCTCATAAACTACAAATCCAGTGCATGTATTTTAAATTCCAGTAGTTATCCAAGAAAGAGATCTACAACTTTGGTGAAGAAAAATTTTCTATTTGACGTAAGGCGGCCGCCTACGAGTTTTCGATAGTTTTAGCACATCATACTTTGCATAAGGACAAAATGATGGAAGGCTGCCGACGGGGGAGGGAGGGAGGCCGCACTCCGTGGCCGCCTGCGGCGGGATGTGATGTTTGAGCTACCGGTTGCTGAGACAAGACGGGAGACGGCCACGGAGCCAAAATGGTATTTTTGTGTGATTAAAAATGTGATAACATATTTAAATAGGTTTGGTGATTAAAAATGTGATAACATATTTTGTGTGATGATCCAGGGATCCAAAATGGTATTTTTGGATCAAGGACATCAAGAAGTATATGTGTATAAAATTTCAAGTTAATCGGACTCCATTTGGGGGGTCAAAAGGGGCGTTGACCGCCAAGTCAACTGCCATACCCGACCAGGTATTGACACATACCCGACCGGGTATTTGCTGAAAATTTCCCAGGGGGCTACTGTCTCATATACTTTGACGCGTACACGTAGCTTTGACGCGTACACGTAGCTTTGTCGGGGAAGTGACTGAAGGCTGCCGGCCATGGCCGGAGGGCGGCCGTCCTTCAGACCGCCTTCCACTAAACTACGGCTATAAAAGCCCTCTTCCATCCCCAACTCAAAACACACTATCTCACACCTAACTCAGATCAAAAAGGGTGTCTTCTTCCTCCTCAAAGCTCGGATTTCCACCATTGTTGGACCTTCAACTTCAATCTTTCATCTCTCATTTTAGCTCCAATTTGTAAGTTCTTTATATGAAAATTCATCTTCTCGTTGTGTAGATTCTGAATATGTTGTTTTTATTTTGCAAATGTTAGTGAAAAAATCTCTGCATTAATTTTAAGAATTTCGTATTTTCCATATTTATTCAAGAAAAATAGTTCTTGTTGTTATATTAATCTCCTACTTAGATAAACTCAATACCTAGTATAAATGATGTTTATTTGTGATAGAAAAAAAACTTTAGATGTTGGGAGTATTCACTTTAATATTTTATTTTGTTCTTATGGTTTATAATCATGTCTTATTTTATATGTAAAGTGTTAAAACTAGTAATGAGTTGTTGTAGTTAATTATACTTGGGAATGTGTTGAATTAAAAAATATGGATTGACCTTGTTTGATTGAAAATTATGAGTTTAACTAATTTTATGGACTAGTTGTTTAAAATGATTAATTTGATTACTTAATAGATTTGGTCATTTCATTAATTAAACTTTGGAAGATTATTTATAACTTGTCTATGGGATTATAAATAGTTTAAGACAAACATATTGAGCACATAATGAAACCTAGAGATAGGATAAATTAATGGATAGAATTTAATCTTTTTCTATGAGGAATAAATTCAATTGTTTAATATGAGAAATTTAATTAATTAATGAAGTAGACCATTTTGTTAGCTAAAATGCGGAAAGTTATATCTATCTTGTCTATGAGATTAGAATATAATTTAGGCCAACCATTTTAAACACATTAATGAAGCCTAGAAATAGGATAAATTAGTGAAAGCAACTTAAATCATGTCGATGAGAAAAGAAATTACTAGTCCAATCTTTAGTTATAAATACACCTAATTATTAGGTCCAAGCTAAAAGGATGTACCCATATTTTATAATTCAATTCATTGCCCTTCTTTGATCAATCCATTTAGAGTTTAATATTATATTTTTCATTTAGTTTATTTTTGAGCCATCATTAGTATTTGAATAATTTAATTATTGGAAAGCTTCCAATAATTTGCGATAACCTGTTACTTGACTTAAAAATTTAAAATCAAGAAACTCCTCCACCATTTCTCAAGAGACACAATACTCGGGGAAAAACTGAAAGGTTAAACTCTATTTTACTACAACGCCACGTAAGCGGGTTATCACCCCTCCCCCGACCCTCACTGGGGTAAAAAAAAATTAATATTTATCTTCTTTTGGCAATACATTAATAGTCCTATCTTGTGCGTGTACATATTCTTTTATATACGTGCATCAGTCTAATAAGGCGTGTATCTAGCCTAGGGTTTTGGTTGAACTGGATTTAAGGAAGGAAATGCCGAATAAAGTGTGGAATCAATGTGGCTCCTGTGGCTTTTCCTAGCAAGTTTTGTATGAGAATAGGCCTATTGTTTTCAATGTTTACACCTTGGACATTCTGATCAAAATTATCCAAAGAGACCCCATGATTTAGGTAAGCCAGCTACTCTGACCATTTCCTTACCCAAAGACAGGGGGGTCCCTAAAATCAATGCAAACAAATCTCAAACTAAGATAGTCAAATTCACTGCTGTGGAAAATGGAAAGGGCAAAATCGAAACAGAAAGACTAGCCATTACAAATACAACCACCACATCTACAGCCCATGATGTTCTAAATGAGCAGAAGGAGATCTTCTTGGAATATGAAACACATCCTACATCTGAAGGTGATGCATAAGCTCTTGGAATATGATCCTGAATTGGTAAAAATGCTATTGCTACTAAAGATATTTCTGAGACAAAAGATGACCTACATCTGAAGGTGATGCATAAGCTCTTGGAATATGATCCTGAATTGGTAGTAAAGGAATATCACTCTGATGGAGAGCACTCTAAGCCAATAAATCATGACTCTTGGTTACAATTCTGGCATGAAGTTATTACTAACAAATTGCCATTTAGCTGCAGTATTTTATAGCAACGAGTGATTGTCGTTGGTATAATACATCTATACCTATGGCCAACCCTTTCTGTTGATTATTACAATATAACTACCAATGGTTTATTTATTTTGTTGATATATGTTATGTATTTCTTACATTATTTTTTTTGGAAGAATGTGGCTTATATTATCAAGAAATTAGAGTTCAAGTAAGAAAGAGAATGCAAAGAGTTGCATCCCGATCACTAGCCCTCGAACCAGACTTAAAGTTTATCGCCTTCACAGTAGCAATAAAACTCGCTGATCCTATAATGAGCACAACTGAGCCGACAATGACCGGAAAAATCCTCATCACTCACCCAACTCTTCAAATTCTTGAAAGAAACAGAAAGAAATAATAGCATAATAGCATGACAGAGTCTGAATAAAAAAAAACAAATAACATAAGGAAAAATAGTATCCTTCGCGAAACACATCAAAGCTGCAACTTGTCATAGAAGCATGCCTCACATACCCAGCGGGCCTGGTGCCCCGGACCCGCCTCCCTCCCATTTTTTGGATTGTCGAGTGCCATCTCCTCCCCGGCCTGATCCTCTCCCATCAAGGTCTCCTTCTGTTTTGATCTCTCGTGCCTTCTTCGTTATTCCCTAGTAACATAACGCCTGATAACCCTACTCCTGCACCCATCCCCAGCAGCATCAAACCTTGCTCTCCTGCATTAGAATTCCCCGTCGGAGAAACACCTTGTGTCCCCCTACCTCTCATGCTAGTCCTATCTTTACATGCAGTCTCATCTCCTTCCTATACCAACCATTTATTATCTACAGATGGGCGAAACCGACCCCCAGCTCTCAGTTCTTGTCCAAAAAGTTTAACCAATTCCTTCGATCCCTGCTCATAAGCCATCAGACAATACCTATCTATGTGGCCAATGAGCCCATAAGACAAAACAAAAACTGGGAAGTTTCTCATATTTAAAGTCCACCCAAAACTCCCCACTGCCCTTTTGAATTTTCGTCCCTTTCTTAAGAGGTCAGCCAATATCTAAGGTAACTCTGATTCTCAAATACACACTGCACCTACTCTCTAGCTGATTATCATCCATTTTAACAAATTTTCCTAGGTAATTGCCAATCATTTGCGCTGCTTCTAGTGTCATAAAATCATAAGGCACATTATGAACCTGAACCCAAAAAGTCTGTCATGGTTAAGGGAACGCTAAGAGGAATATCCTAGGACTTGATCTCATGCAAAACTGGTAAATTCTTTTCAAAAAGATAAGGACCGTCCTCAAGTCCCCCCTCATATCTACTACATGATAAAAGGTAAATAAATACCTGCGTTCACCAATGTCTCTAATGAGAACGCCCCTACCAGGTCACCATACAGATGCGATAACCTCCTTAAAAACTGAAATTTCACCACTTTCTCTGTGATTAGAGTCCCAACCACTGGGAACACCTTCTGAATTTCTTGTTCCACCACCTCACTGCTGACTTCTTCAAAAAACGGTCTGTCATCATCACCCTCCAACGTCAAATTGCTACACCGCTTCTCCAAATTCACCATTGAAGGCTCCTAGATCCGAACTTGATGTTTCTGCCCTGCTAAGCTTTGAGAACAAAAGAATTGCCCCTGCTCCAAAGAACCGCACTCCCTTGCCAACCTGCGAGAACAAAATAGCAAACGACAGAGGTATCCTCGCCCCACACCAATTCCGGACTAGGAAGACAAGGTAACACCGAGATGAAACATAGTATATGGGCTGTTAGGGGTATTCAATATGGGTAGTTGGGTTTTGGGTAGTTAAATAGTAAATTATGAATGTGTGTGTGGGTTGGGCTTCGAATTGCAATGGCCATTCCAGGCTGAAATAATAATTTGTGTGTATTTTACAAGTTTTAAAATGATCCCATTACTTTTCAAAAGTTTATCAACTAACATCTTTTTTATAATCTTTTGAGTAGTAAATTTTGTATTTTATATATGGATTATATTATACTACGTATTCAAATAATTTCATTAAAAACCCTATTCATTAATAATTACATTAATGGACATAAAATGTTATCAAAATGTTGAAAAGAATCAGTGGCTGATAAAATAAATGGAACTTTTTACTAAAATACTTTTGTAATTTTAATGTTTATAAGTATTTAAATAAATACCCTATTTACTATTTCAATATTAAATTAGTAAAATTATTTCATTTATATTAAAAGAAATGCATGTATTGTATGAATATTATATACAAATAATGTCATTAAAATCCTATTTATATGTAGTTACATTTTTTGACAAAAATTGTTGATCAAAATGTTCATAAAATTATGTGGCCTTATTTACAAGGAAATGTTTCGAAATGTGTACAGAACCTTATTCGTCTATCTTTCAGGTCCTGAATTGATAAAATTTTCAAATCAAAACCTATGAAGTGTTAGGTCTTAGATTGATAGTTTTCCATCATTCGGGTCATATACCGATATAATTCATCTTTCAGGGTATGAATTGATAATTCATCTATCTTTGAGGTCCTGAATTGATAAAATTCCTCATTTATAGCTTCTTATTCCCAAAAATAATTCCTACCAACTACACAAGTATTTTCTCCTTAATTAAAAATATTTGTATCTATTGCCTCTAAACTCTTCACATTCATTTACACACTAATTAATAATGTTAATCGATAATAGGATATATGTCCCGAGTAAAAAATTTAGGCAGAAATTATGCCAGCCATGAAGTTGTCATTCCAAGGTTAAACTTAACTCCTTCAGATTAAGGAATACCGTTGAGGTTTCAAAGAAGACAATTTTCAGTCATGCATGACCTCCTACACAATGACTATAAATAAGAGTCAAAGTCAATCTTTGTCACATCTTGGGCTCTTATTAAAAAAGTCGATGTTCACGTATAGTCAACTGTATGTTGGAGTATCAAGAATAACAAATCCTAAGAGTTTGAAAATATTGATTTGGGATGAAGATGGCGAGCAACCGACCATACCTTCAATGTTGTTCATAAAGAAGTTTTTTTGTAATGTATAGATTGTAGAAATCTAATACTCCCTCCATTCTTTTTTAGTTGCAACGGTCAATATTTCACATTTGCCAACGCACGTCTTTGACCGTAATTATATCTTAATTCTATTAGTAAAAAAATATAAAAAATCAGATTTTGAAAATTTGTAATGAGATGAATTGAACAATATTTTTTTAAAAAAATAATTTTCATAAAACAATAGCGTTGATGGGATATTAAGGTCCGGCCCAATACGGTGGCCTAAAATATCCCTGAGGCCCAAACGCAAGGGAAGGTCCAGAGAAAATCATCAGGCCCGAACGGCAAGCCCCGTTCGGCACATCCCGAACGGCAAGCCCCGTTCGGCACATCCTGAACGGGGTATAATTAGCACTTGGGTAATTAGTTTATTCCCTGATTGATGGCTTAGCTGAGCTTAATCCCGAACGAGAGTTGCTCAAGTGACCGACTTCAGTTAATGCTGGATCATGGAGGCCTCAAGTGACATGGGAGGCAACCAATCATATTAGAGCACCCCATACCCCCACATACCTCCATCTAGTATAAATAGCAACATTTAATTCATTGTAAGGGGTAGTATTTGTTTACTCACAAGCTTTTATTGCATTCTATCTCTTGTATTAGCCTTTGGACCGTAACTACCGTTCGGCCATTTCCGTATAATCACTATTACTGCGTTAATACAAGCAACACTATTTGCGTGAACCTATCAGTTTTTATATTTCTTTTATACACGTTACTGTAGCAATCTTACCCTAGACCCAAGGTTAGTGTTGGGCCTTCGGGTCATTCGGGATTTAACTTCAACATTGGCGTCGTCTGTGGGAAACCTGAACAAAAAGTTTTGAAGCAACCACTTAACTAAGCAATAACCTACCTTCAAAATGGTCAAAATCACCTCCCATCATACTGACGGAAGTTCGGAGAGACGCGGGGACAGGAGGACATCGGGAAGCTGGACCACCCAAGGGCAATCCAGCCGGGGGTCATACCAACATTTTGATGGGGATTTCTTTATCCCCGAAGCACTCAAGAGAAACCCCCATGCCATGCGAGATCTAGCCAAAGTAATGCAGCAAATGGCGGATGAGCAGGATGGGGGCAATCTAGCTACACATCGGAAACCACATACACGCCCCCTGTCTCCACTCCGACGGATGCGATCATTTGATGAGGAAACCAGGAATACAGAAACAACCAGGGCTTCGGTCCATTCACGGGCCCATCCGGGAGATTACCGAAGGGCTCACGAAACTAGGGACAGACAGCACACTCATAGTGACTGAACCCCGATCGGGTCCCAAGCCAGAGGAGCTACGCCAGTGGGCCCCCGATTCCAGTATGAAGAATGTGATGGCACCAGGGTCTTACGAAGACGTCAGGATCGGAATGTACCCCCACCAGAGATAACCCCAGAATTGGTGGGTCTGAGAACTCCACCACCACCTCCCCGAACGGCTCATGAAGAGAAAATGACCGAAATGAGGAGGCAAATGACTGAATTAGGAGAGCATATGAACAGAACACCCCTACAACTCACCTCAGAACGGGTCGGGATCACTTCCCCCTTCACCAGAGAGATAATGAATGCTGAAATCCAGAGGGATGCTAGACCGCCGATCGGTCACACATATGATGGGGTGGGAGATCCCCATGTACATTTGAGAAGTTATCAAGGAGGGCTCATGCTGTTGGGAGTGACGGATGCGGCCATTTGCAAGCTATTCTTCAGCTCGCTCAGGGGGCCTGCTCAGGAGTGGTTCGGAACCCTACAGCCCGGATCGATCAGCAGTTTCGCTGAATTGTCATCTTTGTTCTTGGCACAGTTTGCTTCTAGTGCCACCCCTAAATGACACTTCAGTTACCTGACCAGTGTCAAGCAGGGGCCAAGAGAATCCATCAATCAATTTTTGAAAAGATGGAGAGATGAAACTCTAAAGGTTGAAAGTATGACGGAGGATACAACAATCACCCTCTTCACTAATGTCCTACAGACTGGGGAACTTTACAGGGACCTGAAGAAGAACCCAGGGACGGCATATACCGAGGTGATGGATAGAGCCCGGAAGCATGCCGCACTTGAGGAAGAAATTATGATTAGGGATAAGGTGGCTACACCTTCTGCACTAACGAAATTGGCCGATCAGATGGGTCCTATCCCAGCGGCCGCACCCCCTACAAAAATGAAATGCTTCACCTTGCTCGTCCTTTCCATTGCAACTATATTTCATAATGAGAAGAACGTCATCCCTCATCTAACAGATACAAGGGACCGTATGGGAGACGAGGACGCTTATTGTCAATACCACAAGAGGAAAGGGCATGCCACCAACATCTGTCGGGCGCTTCAGATAGCCATCGAGGAACTGATCCAGTAGGGTCACATGGGGAAGTATGTGAACAGGGACCCGAATGCCACAGGTCCCCTCCAAAAGCAGTTCAAAAAATCCAAAAGTTGGAGGAGGGACGATCAGCGAGATAATACACAGTACTCGAACAGCTAGAGAGAGAATTTCTAATCTACGTGCTCTATCAGAATAATATCCAGAATAGAATGTGTAGAGACTTAGAGAGCAGATTCGGTTATCTCAACCTATATTTATAGGAGAGATATTCGAATTGCCCTATTACAATTAGGAATGCAACTTTAGGCGTGTGAGCTTATTAAGAGCACGATTAAATGGGTCTAATTCTCTCTCAGCTAATCTAATTAAATACAAAGACTCATTAATTATATTACAATTAATTTGAACACAATAAAATAATATTCTAACAATAACTTATGTTTCCTCCACATTCTTTCCACATAATTTATAAGTTCGATATTTGTTCCGAAAGCAAAGAATGATTTGTTTTGAAACAAGGTCTTGTCGAGGTCTTGAGAAATCAAAGATGAAAAGGTGGATAGCCTAAACGATGTTTCAGAGTAACACTGCATGTAGAATCTTCAAAAGGCTATGGTTGCTCAGTTCCTTTGTTTTACACCCAGCCCCCTCTACAATCAATGGTGCAAATTTCTCTTGATGGTTTTATTCATCTTATTTTTTCATTGTAGAAAAATCATTGTACAGTGTATAATTAATTTAATTTAGTTGTGTTAATTTCAGTTTTTTCAGAAGACAAGAGAAAGCAGCTTTTGGATAACAAGTTGACCTTTGGATTTGTCATTGAAACCAAATTCTTATATTGTGTTTGGATTTATTGGTATTGGAGTGATCAAGGTTTTATATTCACTCAAAAAATCTTTATTGTTAGTTATTACTAGCTAGTATGTATTTTCTGTTTGGTAACAATGTTATTCAAATTATAAAAACCTTGTATTGAAATTTAATGATCTTTCACTATGTTTGCAATGCAGATTTTATTTTGACCTCAAAGTGTGAATTTGTGGGTGTTCATGTATATGAAATAGTAAATAATTATCGTTACATATAGTGCGGCAGAGATGCCGCCGGCGGAGGGAATCGGTCAGGCTACAACTTCGACGAAGGCTTCTTATGCGGCGGCGGTAAGGGATCCAATCCCAGGCCAACGTCTGCACTCCCAACAAGTCTCCTTCTCTGACGCGGGTCAACTGGGTTCGTCCGGAAGTTTCAAGGGATTCTCGTCGGTCTCCTTCTCCGATAACGACCTACAGGTCCTCTCTCATCCCTTTCGGTATGCTCTCGTAGGTACTTTCCCTTTCGGACGCCCCCCTCCCTGCGATTT